GCTGTCCATCTTCAATGTATACAAGAGCCAGAGAGAACATGACATGAATCTCTCAACAATCTTTGAAATAGCAGTCACTACACCTACTATCATCTCTGGCGACTTCAACGCTCATAGTGAATTACAACTTGATTCACCAAGAACCGACGCCAACGGAAGACATATTGAACATCTTTTGGATGAAGTGCCGGAAATCAGTCTGCTTAATTCGAGGGAACCAACCCACACTGGTGGAGGAAAGCTGGATCTCACGTTTGTTTCCACCAGTATTGATGAGTTGTGTCATTGGTCAGTGGATCATGTTCTGACTAGTGATCACTTTGCTACAAAAACAGTTATTAATATAGCACTACCTCCTAGACCTCCAGCTCCCGAGCCCGGATGGGACTTTATCAAAGCAGATTGGACGAAGTTTCAGGAAGCTCTCGAAACTTGGCACCAAAACTACACTCCTCCTGACAACACCGAAGAAATGGAAAAAGATTTAGTAAATGCAATACATAGAGCAGCAAATCACGCCATCCCCAAGAGGAAAACAATTACCCAACAACACAAGGACCATTGGTATTACTGTGATAGGATCAAAGAGCTACATAACAGACTAAATCTACACTAGTGTTAGTCTACACTAACCCCACCAGCTCCATAACTGGTACAGCCAGCCCTCCAGGCTGAAAACCATCATGAAGACCCCCATCCGTTGCCAGATCTCTACTATCACCCACTGATACAGCTAATGGCTCCAAAGAGCCTCCACTTACGGGCTCACCATAGCCCGTGCTACTTGGAACTTGTTCCGAGTAGCTGAATCTATAACAATAACAGTTTGGTCAGACAGCACAGCTTCTGTCCCAGGTAAGTTACGGGCTCACCATAGCCCGTGCTACTTGGAACTTGTTCTGAGTAGCTTAATCTATAACAACAACAACGGTAGTCTGGTCAAAAGACGGAGAAAGACATCTCCCGTCACGCAGGGTGCAGTCGCACCTCCATAGATCTCCAGTATCATCCATTGATACTGGTAATAGCTCAAAAGGGCCACCACTTACAGGCTATTCATGCCCGTGCCACCTTTTGGGTGGCTTAATCTTCATCAATCGTCAATCTGGTCAACACACAGCACCACTTTTGTGCCAGGTAAGTCCACTACGGGCTCACCATAGCCCGTGCTACTTGCCCCGCTCCTGTGCCAGGTAAGATACGGGCTCACCATAGCCCGTGCTACATGGACACTTCGTTCTGAGTAGCTAAATCTAAAACAACATGGTCAAGCAGAAACACTTCTGGGGTTCTCATTAGCTTACGCATCTTCCTTCACCTCGACGTTCATACGATGGGTGACGGTAGACGCATAGAGCATTTTGTATAAAGTGCATCATTCACCATTATTATTAACGTAAAGAAACTTGTATATATTTTTTCCTTGTTTGCATGAAGCCAAATGGTTCAGGATTTTTGTCATTTATTTTTTATTATTATTTTCTGAAAAATTAAAATTTACTTTTGTTAAGTTTTGATAAAGTAAATTATTTAGTGTTTATTCCCTGCAGCTTGCACACCGTAAAGGATTACCAGTTTTATTTTATTTTGTTTTCTCTATTTTTTTATTAATGTGCATTTGTGCACCGAGCACGTCACAAAATTATTATTATTATATATATTATATATATATATATATATATATATATATATATATATATATATATAGGGGGGTACCACCACTGGTGCATTTATAGGGACCCACAGCCTCAGAGAAGGGAACACAGAGCACTCAGGGAAAAACTTGACATTTAACTCTGAATACGAAAGAGTGTTCACTTCTCCTACCACCCCCTTTTTTTTTTTTTTTTTATTTATTATGATGTACACTTTATTATGCAAGGTTATACAGTTACATATCTGATTTTATACAAAAAATAAACATTAAGAGGACACAAGAAAAAGTTCGCTTCCTAGAGGCTGTAGATTTCCTCGAACTCCTCCGACGCCGGGCAGGAACCGAGGATGCAGCGGGCATTTCCCCTCTGGATCGCGACACTGAGGCGCTGAAAGAGAAAACTTGCTGCTCTAGGGTCTCTTGTGGTGTCAATGAGCTTGGAACCAAGATCCTTAAGAAACCTTCTTGCACTCTCACCCCATGGGCCTAGGGTCTCAGACCCTATTGGAACGAAATTGTACCTTTGATCTAATTGCCTGTACTTGACTGACTTTTGTTTTTCTGTGTGTGTCGCTGCGGCTCCCGCCGTGCCGGCAGAGAGGGTGATGTATGTCGTTGCCAGGGTGGATACGCAAGTATAGTCCCATGCTAACTGCCTGCCACCCTTCCACGGACGCAGTGTGATTCCGTCTGGTCGCCCGGCAAAGCTAACAGAGTCACGGTTCAGTAGGTTGCGGGGCTCTCTCTCCGCTGGACACTGAGCAGAGGCAAGGCTTCTTTTAATGATGTCGTTGACTTCGTCGTGTCTAGTGTGCCAACCACCCGATTTTCCACAGTGCAGGCCATGCAATCCATATTCGTCAGCATCTGCCTCGCCGCAAATACACCTGTGAACAGTGTGGATAGGGGCAGCTAGGCGGAGAGCGACTGCAATACGGAGCTCCTGCGGATCAAGACGTGTGCCTGTCGCAGACATAGGGACTGCCAGAAGGAAGTCCCCTGCATGGGGAGCCTGCACAGCTGTGAGGCGTGCACGATCACTGGGGGTTGTTGCTGCCTCCAGCAAAGCTGTGGCTTCTTTGTCTACAATGGGGCTGTCCCAACTGGATTGTTTCTTGGCTTTCGGCATGGCTGGTCTGAGTGCTGGGTCTGTCATGGCACCCCATTTCGTGTCACATTCCGTGTAGTGGGGGTCCTGTATCCCCGCTACATCACTCAGGGTGTCAGGTAGAATTTCCTTAACCAGGTCATCTGATGCTGAGGAGGAAGACAGGAAGGCTGGGACAGCAATTTGGGTGGCGGTGCGGACACCCAAGCCACCGAGCCTGACAGGAAGAGTGGCTTGTTTCCACTGGCATTCGTTGAGGGAGAGGTTAACAACTTTTTCCAGCATGGTCTTCAGTAGGAGGTCATACTCGTCAAGCTTTGGGTTGTTGTAAGATGGGGCGCACCTCAGAAAGTAGGTTAGCCTCGGAAGGGAAAGGCATTTGGTGAGGAGATAAAAAGCATCGTGGGCATCGATGTCACCTATTCTGTCTTCCATCCTCCTAAGGTCTGCGATTTTCTTGTCGAGGATCTCCTCAATGGCGTTAGACCCGAGGGGAGCTCCAAGGAGGGTGCTGTTCTCGGCCCTAATGACATGGGCTCCAAGCAAGGCAGACCTTATTCTAGCTACGATGTCTGGGTTGGAGGAGACTACTTCACACTTGGAAGGGTTCAGGACGAGACCCAGGCTTACTTCTTGCTCCCTTATTTTCCTGATATCTGACAAGAGGTGGTCTACGGTGCCAGCTATAGTGCCATCATCCAAAAACCAGATGTTGAACTCGCTGGACAAGCTTTCGGTGATTTCTTTTAAGACTAAGCAGAAAAGAAGGGGAGCAAGAGGATCACCTTGCTGAACACCTTCACATGATCTGATTTCATGTTCACCAAAGAGCAGTTTTGACTCGCCACTGTAGCACGATAGTATGAACGGGTAGAGGGGCCGGAAATGGCGATGTACGGCACAAAGTACTGCATCTCTTCTTACCATGTTGAAGGCATTCTTAAAGTCCAGTTTGAGCAGGGCCTTTTCATCAGAAATGTTTGTGATGTATGCTCGTGCTGCATATATATATATATATATATATATATATATATATATATATATATATATTTATTTTACATTTTCAAAGAGTTTACACATATGTTGTTGTTATAAATTCAGCTACTCGGAACAAGTTCCAAGTAGCACGGGCTATGGTGAGCCCGTAATTTACACATAAAATACATTCATACTTATACTCATTTGGGTGAGGTGATATGGCACAAAAGTTTTGGGTGATGTGACAAAGCTATGACAGAACACGAAACAATGGGCATGAGAACATAAGAATGGAAGTAACTGCAGAAGGCCTATTGGCCCATACTTCCTCTTGCTGCTTCCATGTTGGTTCGGGGTCTTGAAGTGGCTAGAATATAGTTGTGCATTAATTGGCCGTTGACTTTTTTATTTGTAGTGCCTCGCTGATGTCAAATCTCCTGCTATCGCTGTACAGTAATTATCGATGATTTCTGTGTTGCTTGTTAAGATTTCTCTGGAGATGGTCTGGTTGTGAGATGAGATTATATGTTCCTTGATGGAGCCCTGTTGTTTGTGCATAGTTAATCGCCTAGAAAGAGACGTTGTTGTCTTGCCTATATACTGAGATCTTTGGGGTTTACAGTCCCCAAGTGGGCATTTGAAGGCATAGACGACGTTGGTTTCCTTCAGGGCGTTCTGTTTGGTGTCTGGGAAGTTGTTCATGAGTAGGTTGGCGATTTTTTTGTTTTTGTAAAAAAAAAAAAAAAAAAATAATTCCTGGGATTCATGTTGATTAAAGAATCAAGTGAATTTATGTCCATTCTCTAATACCTAATTAATAAATCATACACAGTATGCAGTGTGAGAGTTGGATTATGAGCCATGAATGAATGAATGAATGATTCATTCATTCATGAGCCACATTCATTTATTATGAACGTGTTTGCTAGGTAATTAGGATTTTCATAAGAACATTAGAATTGATTAAACTTCCTGCTACCTATTGGCCTATGCAGGCAGCTCATATGTACAGTATATCCAACCAAAATCACTCTGGCTGCCTGCACGGGCCAGCCCTGTTTGAAGCGGTGGGGCTTCCCACAAACAGCTTGTGGAGTCAGTCCTGTAACTCGCACTGTTACCTGTTAAGATCCTTTAATTGGCTCACCTGTGGGAACATGCATGGCTCCACCTCTCAAGCCAGACAGACCCCCTTGACCATGTCTCCCAAGGCTTAAGGCTCTTAGACTGCACACAAAATGGAAATAACAACATACGAGGAAGCTCGTCTTTTATTTTAAAATGATTAAAGCTGATACAGAGTAACATTTTGATGATGATAAAACAATGTGGTAATGGAATATGGGATGACTGCACTACAGTATCACTGAATGTGAAGTCTGTACACGGACTGGTGACGTCTAGGGTAGGATGGGAAGGGGGTAAGGAGAAGGCTGTTTGGAGAAAGTGAAGGAAAAAGGATAAGAAAGACAAGAATTTGAAAGTAAGGGAGGGAGGTACTGAAGCCCTGATGGCATTCAGGTCTGCTATTTTCACAATGACCATCTGTTACCCCCAAAACATAAAAACAAATGTACTGCTCCCCACACCTAGCTGACTTGTTCAGATGACCTCCAAGGTATTGACATCTGACCAATGTGGACATTATCCTGTTATCCACAAATGCAATCCCCATGGCCTTAAACTTTTATCTGTAAGTCAAGTATTTTTTAGTCTAGCTTGGGGGTGACTTTCAACTAGTTTACATATACTTAAAACTTTCAAGTGGCATAACTTTTTATACGTTCAATTATATTAAAATGCAAAAAAGGTTTTGAGTTCAAATTAACTACTGAGTATGCTTTCCTCAGGCAACCACTTCACCCTCTGCATGTCACACGACTATTGTCATAACCGTTTCTTGGAGCACGGCATTCACGATAAGAATACAATATTAGCAAACCTTTTTCTCTCTCTCTGGGGTTGCAAGGAAAAAGCCTATCTGATCCGTGCAAAGATATTTTTAGCTGAAAAACATTCATTGTCCTGATTACACTAACAAAACAAACTACAACTTAACACGGTAATATTGAAAAATACACTTCAATCACAACTGCACAGGAGATCATTGACAATATATTGCCAAATCATCATATGGAATGTTGAAGAATGGTGTGGAAGTGATAAAGCAACAACCACACAGTTTTTAACTTAACACAGGACACTTGACTATAAATGTACATTGTTCATTATCTGCAACTGACCACTACGGCTATAACAGCATGTGTAAGCCATTTAAAGGAGGGTTTTTAATAACAGAGTTTTGATCTTTAAGTGGGGGATCTAATTACTTGAGGAATATAATTATAAAAAAATTTCCACAGAAGAACTCCAAAGTCACTGTTATATGTTTAAATAGGAGCCTACTCATTTTGAAGAGCAGCTGAACAATCAAATATAATCAAATGTTAATACTGCTACACATAAAAATAGAATCTAAATAAAGATTACTATATAAACACACAGAATGCTATGTAGAAACACAGCTTTCTGTAGTTGGCAAAATTTGCTATCAAAGGAAACTTAAAAAAGCCCAATGATTTCAGCTGGACATATTTTCTGTAGGATGAAACAAGTGAATTTGGACATTTTTACTCATCTTAAAAATGTTTAGAAAATGATCATCTTGATATCTTGATATAAGATATTTTGAAAGTAGTGTGTGTAGGTTTAATAATAGGGTTTTATTTTTCACATGAATTAAAGACATTAAATATGATAGTTCACTTTTTTGTTTATTAATTTCCAGTTTGGAATGATACTGATGTGGTCCTTATGTTTGCATTATAATACATGCAGCCATAAGACTCCATCATAAAAGGTATTCCTTAGGTTCAAGGTGATAATAATACTGCAGTTAAGAGACCATTTGAATGCTGATCAGGTCCACAAAAGTTGCTCTAGGCAAGTTGTATCAGCAGAATTAATATAAATCTACAGAGAAGACCAAAGAACACAGTGGGATAACTTGGTCGGTGATATTTTCTATTAAGGTTCATTTAGTGACTGAATTTGTGGGAGCTGTGGTCTTAGTAATGCCTGAGGAAGCTTTGTAAGTTCAAAATGTTCACACTATTGTTCATGTAGCAATGCTTTTGGCAAGGCCTGGGTAAGCTGTTTGTAACATTTTAGTTGGTAGAATCTTGGCAAGGTTCGCTCCATACAAAAACTCAGCTAGTATGGCCAAAAGGTGGTTTCATTGGAACATCTCAGATTAATAAAAGAAAGATGGGAATTGGCTCCATATTGACAAATCAGCTGATGAAATTTATGGGGAAAAAGTGGGGAAGGATAAGGACTGGCTCCATGGAACAGTTTAGCTGGCAAGGTCTAACAGAATATCCTCCATGGAACAACAGTGTGGCACTGAGGGGAAGGGGGTGGTTAACCCTCCTTCCAAGATTTAAATATTGCCAGCTGTTGAAAACAAGAAGGCACCCGAATTGATGGGCGTCTTGGGTGATGCACACAAATACATCATATCGTCAGTATTGAGGTGTGTGCGTGTAAGTGTTGGCTCACTTGCTGACCGATGGATCTTCGGCAAGGAACGCACCAGTGATTCTATGTTGGCTAGGATCTGTGAAGTGATAAATGATCATTGATTATCTTTGAAAAAACCAGCGTTGAATTTAATGAAACGCCATTTTCTGGGCGAGTCCTGGAGGCTCCCCGGAGCTTACTAGGCTGAAATGCTAATGTTAAACTTTGGCATCAGTCATGTGTATGGAGTTCTATGGGCCTACCGGGGACCACGAGCCAGAACCTGGCCCCCCTCAGAAGAGGCAAGAGGAGTAAAGGCCTATAGAAACCCCCCCGTGTTGTTGGAAGCATTCTATGTCTGCCATCGACCGGGTCAGGCACCCAGAAAAAGGTGCCAAAACCAAAACCCCTATTCTGGTGAAAGTTGCTACCACAAGTGGATAGAACTCCCCTAAAATAAACACGCAAACAATCATGACGTCACATGTCGCCGCACCGCTGTCCGCGCAGCTCCCCCTCCCCAGGAGGGGGAAGGGGGAGCCCCAGACCCATCGCGCTGGCTATTCACCCCAGTTCTGAGGCTGAATGTCAAAAAGCGTGAAAAATCACTGACCGGAGGGAGGGAGGGAGGGAGGGATGCTGGGGAGCGTCTGGGACTCACCCAGAAATTGGCGTTTCATTACATTCAACGCTGGTTTTCTGGAGGGGAAGCCCCTTCGGCTCCCTGGAGTAAACTTCCCACAGAGGAAAGTAGAGGGACCTACTGGGAAGGCGGTTGCCGCTCACTCCTCAACTCTAAGTCGAGACAACTGGCTGCAACTGCTGATCCAAAGCGACACAGGCCCGACTAGGCCCATGAACGCGCACGAGATAACGATTAGACAGGACCCTGCTCGACCGCCAAAAACCCCGCCCGAATGACAGCCCAGGACATGTTGCCAAAAACAGCGGCAAGAGCCGCGAACTTGCGAACATAGACATGGGGAGAGACCGCAGGCCGGCTAGCCATAATAATCCTGCGGACGACCCGGGAGACAAGCACCCGCAAACAGGGAAGGAGGGAAACCGGATCAACCCAAAGTGCGACCCAGGACACAGAAGCCGTGGCGCGCAATGAACGGTGGAGGGCCGCCACCGGACACCAAACATGATGCACCCCCGGCCAAACCAACCAAGCATCAACAACCCAAGGACCCCTGCAGAAAGCAGCCGTCTCATTCTCTGCCAGAAAAGAAGACTGGTGAAACGAACAACCCCATCGCCTTAACCGAAGAAGCAGAAAACTCCTGCGCTGGAGGAGAGCAGCTCACCAACCCGACCTCCAGAGGCCAAGGCCAACAGAAAAAGAGCCTTGGAGAAACAATCCGGAACCGAAGGGGCCACAACAAACCGAGGAGAAGATAAAAGAGCACTCTGTCCAATGATCAGGACTGCTCAGATGGCGCATGGGCAGGCCGGAGGTGAAACAATGCCCGAGGCAGCATGCTAAACGGAGCAGGAGTAACCTCAATACCGAAAGCAAGCTGAAGCGGCTCCACCAGCGCCTCACGATACGTGGCGACAGTACAGTATGTGGCAAAACGACGGCCCCAAACCCCCCAAAAAGAAGGATAAGACCACGCCAACAAAACACAGAACTGAAGAAGGAACAGAAGGAAAAAGGAAGGACCGCCAAAAACCCCCACACTGCCGCCAAGAAAAAGAACACAGGTGGGACACCATCAACGAAGCCACCTGACGAACAGAAAGTGAGAGGCCTGAGGCAGAGCCGAACCAGCCCCACCAAACGAGCCAAGAAGAGGCGGAGCCACGGGAGATCTCGGGTGCGACCACCGAGTAGGAAGAGCCGGAAAACCGAGCCGGCAAAGAAGGTGGAACGTCTGCTGGACAAAAACGTCCCAACACCAGCGAGCCCGCCAGGAGGTCTGAGACCATGGTCCCGACTGAGTTTCTAGGGAAGGGATCCTGTGAGATGCAGAAAAAGCCAACAGGCAGGGAAAGCCAGGAACCAGAAAACCAAACTGGGCAAACGGAGGGCCAAACGGCACAGCAGCAACACACAGTCGGTGGTCATGTCCCAACACAAGACCAAAATGAAAAAGCGCAAGGGTCGCCACGAGACCATCATCTGAACCGAGGGGTAAGAGCGAAGATGAGAGCCACACCCCCCCCCCAGGCGGCCTATTCCCCCCATCCCCAAGTGACTACCACACCAGCGAGCATAAGAAACACTGCCGATGCAACCGTGGACATCCTCAAGAGAAAACTAGATAGGCGTCTCCAAGGAAAGCCGGACAGACCGGGCTGTGGTGGGTATGTGGGCCCACGGGCTGCTCCAAGCAACAGCCCGGTGAACCAACTCCCACAAGCCAAGCCTGGCCACGGGCTGGGCTTGGGGAGAAGAACTCCCAAAACCCCATCAAGCAGGCATCAAGCAGACGGGAAGGAAACTGCACGACACTGGGATATAGAAGAACCAGAGGGGACAACACCACCACAAGCAAGACCCCTCAGACGAAGGAGAGGGTAGATAGGCGTCCCAGGGGAACACAGATGGAATGGATGTCCAAGGAGCAGGAGAGATCACAAAGGACTCTAGTGTCAGGAGGAGGAGAGAAATAGAAAGCAGGAGGAAGGGAGGAATTGGAGGCCAGCCCCCACACAGTGTCAAGACAGAGCCCAGCAGGATCAGGAAGCCGTACAGAAGTCGAACGACAGGCAAGAGGAGAGACCAAAAACCCCGAGCTCAACTCCTGCAAACACAACTAGGCGAGCACAACAAGGTAAGCACAGAAGCCACGCATATGGCAGGTGAGCGACAGAGGAGCAGGACGAAAGAGTGAAAAGCACAACCCCTCAAGCACGAGGTGAGGACAACCAGTGGAGTACAGAGAATCCAACGAACCTGGAAGGGCTAAGCCAGGCACTGCAAGGCAGGCAAGGAATGAGTGACCCAGAGAAGACAATCATCATAATTAGCAGAGACAAACAAAGAAGGGCCCAGGAGGAAACAGGCAAGGGCCAAACAAAACTCCACAACCAAACCCCAACACGCACCCTCGGTAACAAAACCACAACAAAATGGCACTTCATAACATCCAGACACAGGAAACCGTCCCTCATAACAGTCACCACCACCATTGTACCAAGTAACCCGTGGAGGTGGGGCCCCGGGACTAACTCAAGCATGGGTCGGACATGCATACGAGTGGGACTAGATGGGTACAATGAGGAGCTGTCCCGCATGGGCCAAAAGGCCCCTGCAGGCACCTGTGTCCTGCCATTCCCACATTTGCACTCCCAAAACCAAGAATCAACGCCTGGCTGAAAGACGCCAGATCGCAGAAACTCACCTGCAGAACGGAGGCACGAACGTGTCACGACACAACGTAGCCGAGAAGATGCCGGGAGCACCGCTAGGAGAAGAAGGCCTGAGCCGCACACCCAGAAGGGGAGGGGAGAGGCGAAGGAATCACCCCGCACCCATAACACGGGGAAAACCCCGGCGTCTGCCCCATAACCGCAACCCAGAACACCCCAGTACCTACGGGGCACGGACTGGAGAAGCGAGAAGAACGAGAGGCGAAGCCCCCGAGAGAAAAGGATGCAAAACATGAGCACTCATGTACAACGACCAGACCAAAACAAACTCCCATGGCGCACACGAACAACCCGCTCAGCGGGAAGGCGCCAACAAGGACTACTGCACAGGAAAAGTAGCCCAAACAACCCGTGACCCGAAGGATGGGCGCAGGGGCAGAAACAGCCCAGCGCACGGGAACAGGAGCAAAAACAGGAAGCAGCGACATACATATCCGGTGAATGTAAGGAAGACAAGGAACCGAATCAGCACCCTGGACCAGGAGTATGTAAAGAAAATGAAGTGCCGAGACCGAGGACGAAGAAAAACACAGGAACAAAAGAGCGAGACAGGATAAACCCGGAAGGGGACCAACAAGCCCAGAAAAGACCGGAGGGAAGCCACATCGAAAGACGCCAGCGTTCCAATAATACAGGAAGTAGCGAAAACCATCCCGAACCTTCGAGAACACACAAGCAAGCACAAACCACGAAGGCTCATAAAAGCACAGTCGCACCGAGACCAAAAGTCATGCAGAACCCCCAAAAAAGAAAAGGGGAACATGACAGGGAAGTTCCGTCCCAAGAAAAGGGGTGAAAAAACCGCAAAGAGCACCCACGAACAGGACGGAACCAACGGACTCAATGAACAAGGAATTGAGCCAGGAGAGGGGCCGACGCCCAACAACTCGTATGAAGAGGGGGGAAGGAAAAACCCCACTCCCCGTAACCGCAAGCTCCGCTCGAAGGGTAGAACAACCCCGGCGGGGACCAACGGGGCCCCCCCCCAGGCAGCCCCTCCCCAGTCCCGGGAACCCACACGTTTGGCCCCGGGGCCGAGCCGTCCCCCCAAAGCCCCGGCCTCAAGAAAAACTGGGGCAGCCGTGAAAAATACAGAGGAAGGGAGCCCACTGGCAGACTTATATATACAACATGGCTGGAGGAACAGGCTCAAATAGCCCCCGTCCCAACCCCGGAAGGGGAATCCCTCGAGATCGCCCGAGTCTCAAAACCATCGAAGCTCCGCCCTGACCCCGAACCCACAGACGGTAAGGACCCGGATGCAAGGAGGAAAGGGGGTGGGGGGTGGGAACAGATTAGACCGCAGCAGGGGAATGACAAGGGGGCGTGGAATGAAAACCGAAGGAACCAACACCCCAAGCCCCGTCCCTAAAACGGGGCAGCCTCAGGGCTTCAGGGGAGCAAACAACCTAGAGCGTTGACAAACCGAAACACGATGGGCAACGCCCGTGCTGCCTGCACCCACATAGTCAGCATAAGACTGGGTAAGCAAGCCAGAAACATGCAACAAAACTCGCAGGACTCTGGGTCGAAGGTGCCACCGACCCCACAGGCAGCAGACGGAGGCAAAACTGAGAGTCACCCTTAGACAAGGGGACAAAGCAACCCTCGAACTCTGCACAAAGCGTGGGGGAACCCCGGGGTCACATCCATTGGACCCACGTGTCCCCGTGGGGATTCCCAGGGTCCTAAGCGTTTACTTGAAGACGACTTGCG